CTGGCCTGCCAGGTCTCTGTGGATAGGTCTGCTGCCAATCTAATGTTTCTCCCATTGTAGGTTACAGACCTCTTGTTCTGAGCTGCTTTCAGGATTTTCTCTTTGTCTCTGAGACTTGTGAGTGTTACTATTAGATGTCGGACTGTTGACCTATTTTTATTGATTTTGAGGGGGGTTCTTTGTGCCTCCTGGATTTTGATGCCTGTTTCCTTCCCCAAATTAGGGAAATTCTCCACTATAATTTGCTCCAGTATATCTTCTGCCCCTCTCTTTCTTCTCTTTCTGGGATCCCAATTATTCTAATATTGTTTTGTCTTATGGTATCACTTTTCTCTCAAATTCTCCCCTCATGTTCCAGTAGTTGTTCATCTCTCCTTTCCTCAGCTTCTTTATTCCCCATCATTTGCTGTTCTATATCACTCATTCTCTCTTCTGCCTCATTTATCCTAGGATTTAGAGCCTCCATTCTTGATTGCACCTCATTAATAGCCTTTTTGATTTTGACTTGATTAGATTTTAGTTCTTTTATTTCTCCAGAAAGGGATTCTCTAGTATCTTCTATGCTTTTTTCAAGCCCAGCTAGTATTTTTATAGTTGTCATTCTGAACTCTAGTTCCGACATCTTACTAATGTCTGTACTGATTAGGTCCCTGGTAGTCGGTACTATGTCTTGTTCTTTTTGAGGTGAGTTTTTCCATCTTGTCATTTTGTTCAGAGAAGAATAGATGAATGAGAGAACAAAATGCTAAAAGGGTAACTACAACCCCAGAAAAATATACACTAAACAAATCAGAAGAGACCTGAAACTGGGAGGAAAAGAAAGGGGGAAAAAAAAAAGAATATGATCAGGCTGGTGAATAGAACAGAGTCACACACTAGATTTTGGTTGTATTTTGGTCTGTTAGAAGAAATTGCCTCCCAAAATTTTAAAGAAAGAAAAAAAAATATATATATATACAAAAATAAGGGTAAATACGATGAAGGGATGGGATATAACTGTAAAGATGAAAATTAAAAAAGATTTTCAAAAAGGAATTGATAAGTTGGTTGAAAAAAGAACGAAAAGATTAAGAAAAAAAAGCGAGTGTGATCAGGTGGGAGACTAGGACAAAGTCATACACTAGATTTAGGGTATATTTTGGTCTGTTAGAAGAAACTGTATCCCAAAATTTTAAAGAATGAAAAACTTATATATATACACAAAAAATAGGTTAAATACAATGAACGGATAGAATATGGGTGTAAAATGAAAATTAAAAAAGATTTTAAAAAACGAATTGATAAGATGTTGGTTGAAAAAGGAAAGAAGAAAAATTCAACGAAAAAAACAAAAAAAAAAGAAAATTAACTTTGAGAGACTAAAGAATCATGGGAAAAAAGCCATGAATTCTATGTGCTGCATTCCCCTAGCGCTGGAGTTCTGCCGTTCTCATTTATCGATAAACTTGGTCTTGGCTGGCTGTGCTTGCTCATCTTCTGGGGGTGGGACCTGTTGCCGTGGTTCCCAAATGTCTTTGCCAGAGGCAGAATTGCCTCGCCCTTGCCTGTCCAGGCTAAGTAATCTGATCGGGTTTGCTCTTCGGAGCTTTTGTTCCCTGAAAGCTTTCTGCACAGCTTTGGAGGACGAGAGCGAAGATGGCGGCCTCCCAATCTCTGCTGGGGAGGAGCCGAGCACTCGGGGGCCCCGCTCCTCAGTTCGCCCCCAGAGAAAAGCAGTCAATCACTCTTGTCTCCCCGGTCTCCGGCAGCACTCCGTGCTCACCCGGCCCGTGACCGAGCGTTTCTATCTCTGGCACCCGACTCGGTGTGGAGTCTCCAAACCCAGCAGATCCCTGCAGTGCACTCCTGCGCTGCTCCTCCTGGGGGAGGAAGGGGAGTCTCCCCGGATCTGCTGCTTTTGGGTCCCTGCTGGAGGAGCAGTGGCCCGACTGTGCCACAGATCATGGTTTATGGCAACCCGAGCTGAGAGCCCGCTCCTCAGCTTCGTCTCTGCAGCTGGCTTCCCCACTCTGATACCTGGGAGCTCTGCCGCACTCAGGCACCCCCGGTCCCTCTGTGACCCCGAGGGTCCTGAGACCACACTGTCCCAGCGAGGGTTCCAACCCCCCGCTTAGCCACTGGGGCGATGTCCCTCAGCGGAGCAGACTTCTAAAAGTTCTGCTTTTGTGCTCCGCTGCTGGTACCAGGCTGATGGAGGCCCCCTCCCCCTCCATCTATCTTCCTGAATATCGCCTTGGATTCACTTCTGTGCACGTCCTACCTTCCAGAAGGTGGTCACTTTTCTGTTTATAGAATTGCTGCTATTCTTTCCTTCGCTCTCCTGTTGAGTTTGTAGGTGTTGAGAATGGTTTGATAACTGTCTAGCTGAATTCCTGGGACCAGACGAAATTTAGGTCTCCTACTCCTCCTCCATCTTGTTCCTCTCAAAATCTACTTTAAAAAAAGTTTTTATTTTGAGCTTATTATCCAGTCAAAATCTTGTAATTCGAGGGAACTTTGTGTAATTTTTATGTGCTTATTAGCTAATAGCTTTTTGATTTTTCTCTTTGTCTTTATGCCTGTAGTTATACTGTTTACAGAATTATAAAAAATATTACTGTATTTAGGGAGGTTTATTAGGGATTTAACATTTGCAGTTTTTATTGGAATAAGTTTTTAAGTAGCCTTTGAGTAGATAGAATGCAAAAAAACTAAAAACTTAAAGCTTTCCTGTATCTGAATTCACACCCAAAGTAACACCAAATAGTACCAAGAACTTGCTTTTTTTCAAATAAAGGAATTTTTTTCTTCTCACTTTAATGCTCAATAAACTATGTTTTCCAATATCAAAAGTTAGAAACTTTTGTTTGAGTAGGATTTGCAAGGGTTTTCAAGAAATATTAATGCATATATATATTTTAGTGAGGAGTGTTCTCGTGAAACCTCCAGTTAAATGGCTTGAAGATGAAGGAGGCCCTTTACCTACATCCCCTGAGTGAGTAAATTATTATTTAAAGATTTATTTATTTCTTTGAGAGAGAGAGGGCATGAGCAGGGGGAGGGGCAGAGGGAGAGAGAGAGAATCCCAAGTAGACTCCCCGCCCAGCACAAGGCCCAATGCAGGGCCGTTCCCACAATCCTGAGATCATGACCCCAGTCTAAATCAAGAGTTGGAGGCTCAACCAACTGAGACATCCAGGTGCCCCAGTAAGTTATTTTGAAAACAGAATTGCATCTAGGTTTTGATAACAGATTAAAAATAAGCTGATCTTACATTTATGTCTAGAATTGTGAAGCTCAAAGGTATTTTGAATACATCTAAAAAATAGCACTACTGGGTTTTTTTTTCCCTGAAGGTGTCCTTGCTCTGAACTTGTCTATTTGCTGCTTACACAATTAGGGGAACTCTTACGGATGTATAGGTCAATGTGGCCTTAAGTAAGCTTTGGTGTATGCCAGACAGATTTCTTCATCCTTTCTACCCAGTTCCAAGGACTGAGTTCCTTTATCTCTACCCATGGTAACTGACCCAGAGCACAGTGGAAGTTAGCAGGGCACTCCCACCTGGCCCGTCAGTCTGCCTTACCCACAAGTGGTCTCTGTCCTCTCTGAAGATAATGCACTTTCAAGATCTTGATGCATTTTTATTACATGCATGTCTCCTAAAGCTTCCATTGCTGACCATATTTTCCTCTTCTCTTGCTTTATGCTAATTCCATGTCATAACTATTATTTCCTAAAATTTAGAGTATATTGTTTGAATCCTGTTTAATATCATGTTTTGCTTTTCCAGAGGACTGGATTATTCTAATCCTTGGCATTCTAGCTATGTGCAGACCAGAAATCAAATATCAGCTAATTTGCATATTGTTCATCCAACTATGAAAATATTGCTGGATCTTGGTTATACGACGTTTTCCAATTCCGTTTTGCTAGATTTAACAGGGATTAGGTAAAATCCCATATTTATTCTAACATTTAAGATTTGAATGTCGCTTGCTTGAGTCTTTATATTTTGACTGTATACATTTTAAAAATTGATAAGTCTTGAGAACTTTTCTTTAGATTAAAAAATTTTAAATTTATCTTATTTTTAAAAAGAATTGTGTATTAAGACCAGTATTTATCATTTGTTTAAATCATTTTTATTTTTCTCATAGAGCTAAAGGGCCAATTGATTGTGAATCACTGAGAAATGATCTATCAATACAAGCTAAAAAGGCAGAAGAGAAGATAATGAACACATGGTATCCAAAGGTTATAAATCTTTTTACCAAGAAGGAAACTCTAGAAGCTATCAAACCTGAAAAATTGGATGCATTTTATAACTGTGTTTCCACACTTATGTCAAATCAGGTAAATATGTTCTATAGATCTTAAATAATAATGTTAATAAGAGTAGTTATTATTTTACTTTATTATTTTTTAAGTTTTTATTTAAATTCCAGTTAACATACAGTGTAATATTAGTTTCAGGTGAACAATACAGTGATTCAACACTTCCATACATCACCTGGTTCTTATCAGGACAAGTGCACTCCTTGATCCCCATCACCTGTTTAACCCGTTCCTCCACCCCCCTCCCTCTGGTTACCATCAGTTCTCTCTAGTTAAGAGTCTGTTTCTTGGTTTGCCTCTCTCTCTTTTTCCCCCTTTGCTCATTTGTTTTGTTTCTTAAATTCCACATATGAGTGAAATTGTATGGAATCTGGTATCTGTGTTTCTCTGACTGACTTATTTCACTTAGCATTATACTCTCTGGCTCCATCCAGGTCATAGCAAATGGCAAGATTTCATTCTTTTTTATGGCTGAGTAATATTCATCTCTGTGTGTGTGTATATATATACATATATGTATATATATACACACACACCACATCGTCTTTATCCTTTTATCTATCTGTGAACATTGGGGCTGCTTCCATAATTTGACTATTATAGACAATGCTGGTATAAACATCAGGGTGCATGTATCCCTTTAAATTAGTATTTTTGTATTCTTTGGGTAAATGCCTAGTAGTGCAATTGCTGGATTGTAGGGTAGTTCTATTTTTAACTTTTTTTTTTATTTTTAACTGTTTGAGGAACCTCTATACTGTTTTCCACAGTGGCTGCACCAGTTTGCATTCCCCACAGTGCAAGATGGTTCCCCTTTCTCCATATCCTCCCCAACAGCTGTTGTTTCTTATGTTGTTGATTTTAGCCATTCTGACAGGTGTGAGGTGATATCTCATTGTAGTTTTGATTTGTATTTCCCTGATGATCAGTGATGGTGAGCATATTTTCATGTATCTGTTAGTCATCTGTATGTCTTCTTGGAGAAATGTCTATGTCTTCTGCCCATTTCTTAATTGGATTATTCATTTTTGGGGTGTTGAGTTTAAAACTGATGTTTTAGTTTATTATTTTATTTATTTATTTATTATTTTTAAAGATTTTATTTATTTATTTGACAGAGAAACACACAGTGAGAGAGGGAACACAGGCAGGGGGAGTGAGAGAGGGAGAAGCAGGCTTCCCGCGGAGCAAGGAGCCAGATGTGGGACTCGACCCCAGGACCCTGGGACCATGACCTGAGCCGAAGGCAGATGCTCAGTGACTGAGCCACCCAGGCGCCCCTTAGTTTATTATTTTAAATAAAATTCTATTTAGACATAGTGCTAGGTAATTATTTTGAAATAAAAATATTTTTACAATAATTTTGATTAAATTAGTTTAGCATAAAAATACTTTTCTGAGGCAATATCTGAAGCAATCTAAAATGAAAAGAAAGTCTAGAAGTATGTGTCAATATTATGAGTGATTACTGGGCTCATGCTTAAAGGCTATCAACTAATTATCCATAGCTTTATTGGAGAATATTAACAAAGGACTATCCTAGTAAATATCTTTTTGAACATATGAAATCCAAAGTTGGTTGATTCTCATAAAAATCTTGGTTTGAAATGGAATTGATCATCTTTAAAGAAAATATTAATTTATATTTTGTATTTATAGGCTCCTCAAATTTTTGCTATTGTAGAAATACAATTCTATAAAAATGGTTTTGAATAAAAACTTTCCCTTTTGGAAAATATCTCCAAAGATTCCATAAATTTTTCTTTTTCTTTTTTTATGACAGAAGAATTTGTTTTTATTTCTTTCCACAGTGAAAACAGCTTTCCCCAATTATATAGGTAAAACCTACTTATTGTTAAAAAATGAAAAATGGGTACTTATTTACCCAAATATATTAGTAATTGTTAAAATTTTAGATGTGAAAGGCACTCAGGGAACAGAGAATTATTTCCAATTCCTTTTAATATCAGTCTCTCATAGTTGATCCATGAGCTTAGCGTCTTGTTTGTCTAATGCAGCATATTCAGCTTCTATTTCTTCAGCTTCAGGATCTCGTGAGAATACCATTTGTGATTCCAGATTGAGAGCCAAATCTTAGGTGGTGTTCCTTTTCAGCACAATCACAAGGAGTGTCTTTATTTTCATTCTCAGCAAACAAGTCTCCTCCATGTTTTACTAAAAGCTGGACACAGGGTTTCACCCCTGAGGCAGCAGCATAGTGCAGGGGTGTTTTGTTGTTGTTGTTGTTGTCATCAACAGCATCAATAGCTGCTCTCTCATATTCTCCTTGGTCAAGTTTTGCTCCTTTCCATCTTAAGATCATCTGCAGACAATCTGCTCTTCTGAAATCATCAGCGGGCCGTGCTAAGCGAGGATGAAGGGCTCCTTCAGATATCATAATTTAGGTCCCATACCTAACAAATGCATAGATGTTTCACTGTGCACATTCCGTTTATTTGGATTTCCATCTCTACCAAAAGAAAAGTCCCTAGTATTCTGTTCATCCCATGTCTAGCAGCATAGTGTAATGGAGTATTGTGCTGGTAGGGCTCCCCGTAAGATGTATTTGGATCAAGGGATTCTTTCAGCTGAGGGTTGTTTTCATAAATTTGGCAGGCCACGTTTTTAATCACCATTGATGAGTGCTTTACGGAATTTGGTGGTTGTATTTCCCATGTTTTCTTTTGGTCTTTTTTTCTGATAGGCAGTGGCACTTTTTTCCTTCCCACTTCAGCCACTTCTTGAATGTTTCTGCAACATGTTTCGTATTGGTTACTTCCTGGGCTGAGGGTAAGGGTCAGATGGACCTGGCAGCTCTGTAGTTCTGCCACCACCGCGGCAGCCTCTGCCTCTGGCGCGGAGCAGGTGACTTCAGGTACCAACTCAGGCGGGCGTCCCCTTCTCGCCGGCCCGGGTGCGCCCTCCAGGCGGAGGCTGCTGGGGCTGAGGGAGCGCACTAGAGGTCCCCGAGGATCGCTGCGTGAGACGGAAGCACCCGCGCGCCGAGGCTAAGACTGGGCGGGTGCCCCCCATCTCTCTCTGGCCAACGCGCCGCCTCATTCAAGGGAGGGGAAGAGGGGGGCAGTGGCTTTTGCCTCCGCCTCGTGGTCAAGCCCGGCTCATGCTCAAGTCTTGCGCGCGCACAAGCAGCCCCCATAAATTTTTCAATGTATCCTTAAAAGGACACTTTTAATATCTAGTATATAACCCTGTAATTAATATACATGACTTCCTTTTTACCGTTATCCT